CCCCCCCCCCCAAACCGCGGACGACCGGGAGGGGGGATCCTCCTCCCTCTCCCTGGAGGTCTGCCCTTTGGATGCCTACGAGAAGATGGATCGGTTCCATGGAGAGCAACAACAGGTGATGTTTGGATACGTAGACCCCGGAACGGTGCCGGATGCGCCGGGGTGGCCCCTGCGAAATTTCTTGCTGCTCCTTGCGAACCGGTGGGGGCTCTGCGAGGCAACCGTCGTCTGCTACCGCGGTCGGGTCACGGGGCCTACGCATGATCCAGAAGCAGGTGGTAATGGAAGCCACTTGAATCCCCTGGGAGGGGCCCAGGTGATGCGGGGCAGCTTCGTGCTGCACGTCTCCCTCGCGCCCCTGGCGTCCTCGCCTTCCTCTTCCCCCCCCGGCGCCCTCATGACCACAGGCTGGGAGATGCACAAAGGCAAATACATGCCTCGACGCGTCGACCTCTCTGCCACCATGGACCCTATCCGCCTGGCCGAGCAGTCCGTGGATCTGAATCTGAAGCTCATGCGCTGGCGGCTGCTCCCAGCCCTGGACATCGCCGCCCTGGCCCGCACCAAATGCCTCTTGCTAGGCGCCGGGACCCTTGGCTGCAGTGTGGCACGGGGCTTGCTTGGGTGGGGCGTGCGGACGATCACGCTGGTGGACAACGGGCGGGTCGCGCTCTCGAACCCTGTCCGTCAATCCCTCTTTGAGTACACGGACTGCGCGGACGGGGGAAAGCCCAAGGCCCTGGCGGCGGCGACGGCTTTGCGGAGGATTTTTCCCGGGGTGGTTGCGGAGGGACATGTCATGACCATCCCTATGCCGGGCCACCCAGTTTCCTCGCCGGCCGAAGAGGCAAGCGCGCGGCGGGAGGTGGAGTTGTTGGACAAGCTGGTGGCGGAGCACGACGTGATCTTCCTGCTTACCGACACACGGGAGAGTCGATGGTTGCCGACCGTCCTGGGGGCCGTGCACGACAAGATCCTCGTGAATGCGGCCTTGGGCTTTGACACCTTCATGGTGATGCGTCATGGTGCTCAACCGAATCCCCCCCTGACCTCGGTCGCGCCATCCTGCAGCGGCGGGGAGGATGGGGGTACTGCGCGGGAATCGAAAGCCAGGACGGGGACGGGGAAGGGAAGCCCCGGCCCGGCGGATGGAGACGGCATTGGCTGCTATTTCTGCAATGACGTGGTGGCTCCTGACGACTCGACCAAAGACCGCACGCTCGATCAACAGTGCACGGTCACGCGGCCCGGCCTGGCGCCTGTAGCCTCTGCGCTGGCGGTGGAACTCATGGTAGCGTTGCTCCACCACCCCCTCAGGCATCGGGCACCCGCCGACGGGGGCGAGGCAAGCGGTTTGGGGCATCGCTTTCTGGACGATCCGGACCGGCCGTTGGGAATTTTACCCCAGCAGATTCGTGGATATTTGGCGCATTTCACAACGATTTTGCCAGTGACGAGGGCGTTCCAGCATTGTACAGGCTGCGCTCCTGCGGTCATCGAAGCCTACAAGAGGGAGGGGGCGGGGCTAGTGCTGCGTGTCTGCAACGAGCAGGGGGTCTTGGAGGAAATGACGGGTTTGGCGCAGATGAGGAGGGAGACCGACGCGTTGGAACTTTCGTGGAGTGAGGATGAGGACGAGGAGGAAGAAGAGGAGTTGGGAGGTGGTGGGAAGGAGAAGGAAGTGGAAATGGGGGAAAAGGAGCAAAAGGGAAGGGAGAAGCCGACGCAAGAATGGAATGTGAAAGAGGAGGAAAAGAACAGTGGTGGTTTGGACTTGGCGCTTGAGGAATTGGCGATCGAGCATGCAGGAATAAGGAGAACAGGGGGCAATTGTGAGTGAGAAGTTGCAAAACATCGAGAGGGGATGATCGAGCATGGCGGGCACATGGAAGGCATGTTCTGGTAGGCGAGCCACACTGATCCTGTCTTACTTGGTTTTCGATTCTGTCTTGTGAGAGGACGGTGGCATGTATATTCTTGTTCAAAAGGGCGATGAAATAAGAGGCGGCAGGAAAATGTAAACTTGTAAAAAATTGACTCTTTCGTGCAACGATAAAATCGAGAAGCCGTCAGCTCCCCTCCAAATCATGTATTCATATTTGTTTACGGTTGTAATTTGACTTTGGAGGCTACTTTACCGTCTTTTATGGGCCAGTTTTGCGATTGTGCGAGGGACCGTGGCGGCGCGATGGACGGAAGCACGCGGGCCCGTCGACCTATTGCTTCGCAGGCAACGTCGGCATGGCGCACGAAGCAATTTTCGCAGACATTCACTCGTTCCTGTGCGAAGGCGGTGTCCTCCTTCCAGCGTTGGTAGGCATCAACCCCTGCGTTGCCAAGTTCCGGGTGTAGCGCCAATAGTAAGGGTGGAATCGTCTGCGGCATGCCCTCAGGCTGTGCTGCTGACTCGCCTATCCTTTTGTTGTCACGCCCTGAATCACTCTTTTCCACGCCTTTTGTTCCACCGCTTCTCTGCCCCTTCTCCTCCCCTGGAGTCTGCGTCCGACGTGCACGTTTCTCCGCCTTGTCGTGGAGCCATGCCACCATTTGGTACGTGACAGGATGCAACCGGTCGGGGTGGACCAGGCTGTGGCAAGAGGGGCATCGGCGAGTGAAGACAGGCGAGGGGAAAGCCTCTGGGTCCGTGGGGTGGTAAGCGGCCTTCTCGAACAGGTGCACGTCGGAGGGGAGGCGCACATGGGCCCGCAGGTCTAGCAAGCGATCGTCGTCGGCGTCGGTGGGCGTGGGAAGGGGCGACCCGGACGATGACCGCGGGCGGGCATCCCCCCGTCGTTGAACCCTTCCTTTTCTTCCTTCTTGTACGAGATTCTGCTTCATGGGTTGCCGTCGTTGGTCGCGTTGCGGTTCTCCTCGTTGCCGCTCCGGTGCGTCTCTCCGTCGCTCCCTGCGAACAGAACCTGGCTTCGCACCCCGTGGCTGCCCAAGAAGAGACGATGGCGGTGATGCAGCTGCCACGGGGCCGATGGACGCGTCTTCCAGTCTTATGGAGGAAGACCATAAAAAATAGAGGCGACCGTGGGCATCGACCTTGAAATTAAAGACGGCCCGGGCGATCTGTTGCTTCGGGAAGGTGACAAGCGCCACGTGGTCCACGAGCTGCTTACAAACGTTTTGGATGAGCGTAGAAAGGGCATGACTCTTCAAGGGCGTGGCCTGACTGTGATGGTCTGCGCCTTCATAAGTCACGGCGCGTTCGAAGAGGCCGTAACGTCGATCGTCTAGGCTCCGGATAGTGACCCGGCGTTCCGCAATGCATAGTTTGGGGGACCAAATCGCGCGAATGACAGCATTTCTCGGACCTTGAGGTTCGATAAATTTTTGTAGAAGGCCGCAGTCTTTGCTTCGATTGAAAAGAAAACGATGCAGCCCAGCACGATCGAAATACTCGATACGGGCATCGTCGTCATGACCGGGTGTGGTCGAAGAGGAGGCGCTTGTCGGAGCGTCTGTCGACGTTGGCAACACTCGCGGTGATTGCACCGGAATTGGCGGATGTTCGTCCTCTCGGAAGGCATTGGGCAATGTGAGATAGTAGGCCACTATGTCTCCGCTTTGGCTTTGCTTCGTAAATTCCTCTTCGATCCGGCGGCTGAGAAGGTTGTGCTTGCTTTTTTTCAAGATCTCGCCGGTCTTGACGGACGTAAAATACCAAGCGCACGGACTCGAAGCTTTGTACACGACCGTCTGCGGCAAGTACCAGGGCACTTGCGTTCCTTGTCGCGTTTGGTGCCGACCGCATTCACCCCGAAAAAGATCGTTGCGTTTCCGGTGACGACGGGAGGCCGCCTCGCTCTTTGCCCACAGCAAGTAATAGAGCTCGTCATTCAGTCCATCTCCAGCCAGGGACATGTCCTATCACGGGGATGGTGTGCGAAAAAAGGGGCACAATTTAGAGCAAGCTCGAGGAACACCCCAGCGTGATGGGCCGGTCGTCACGGCTGTGCTATTTCTAGACAGCTTGCGTGGAGGGTTGAAAAACGCGAAGCTTCTCAGGCAGTAACCGCAACGAGCGAAAGTCTTGAGGATTCCTCCCGTCGATATCCTGCAAGACTGTCCAAGCCCCGGGCCTTTGTGGGGTGGTCAGTGTGCTCGCTTTGGTCCCTGTAAACAATCCTTTTCGTTACGCAAGGGGGGCTGGCCCAGCTGGCTGTTGGTGTTGACTCCATTTATCCTTGTAAGTCGACGGACGGTAAGCAAGGATCCCTGGAATGATCGCGAGGTCAACTTGGATTTCTACTCCCACGCTTTTTGCCCAACGGCACTCTTGCTCACAATGAAGCATGCGCATGCCTGTGTGAAGTATTCAGACCTTCTCCCGCTTGTTATATTGTTGCACGGTGTCCTCTGTATGAATATTTGTAAGGATGGTAAATCTAGCGCATGTTGAGCAGCGCTCGCTCTTGCCACCATCTTACCCTCGTTCCCCTCCTCTTCGACTTTACACACGTCGTACCATCTCACATTCTCTCAACACAACATCTTCCTCCACCAGCTTTTTTTTTTCCTGCGCGTTCAAGAATGAGGGTCATTGCTCTTCTCTCTCTCGCCTCGATGGCAAGTGCCTTCATCGCCCCTACACCCTTGGCCCGTCGTGCCACCGGCGCGGTGCGCATGGCCGCGGATGACGACCTGTCTACTGCGCTTCCTTTCGACAAGCGACCGCCCAACCTGGACGGCAGCCTTCCTGGGGATGTGGGTTTTGACCCGGTCGGCTTCTCGAACAACCCTCCCCGTCCTTGGCTGATCGGAGGCTCGGGCCGCTCCCTGAAGTGGTACCGTGAAGCAGAGATTGTTCACGGCCGAGTCGCCATGCTTGCCGCCCTCGGATGGGTGTTCCCCAACATCTATCACCTTCCGGGGAACGAGGACGTTGGTGTGGATGCGTTTGCGAACCTGAACCCTTTCGGGGCTTTGACCACCGTCCCGGCCGCGGGCCTCTGGCAGATCGCCGCCACGGTGGGCGCGATTGAGCTTTTCCGCGTGAACCGTGTCATCCGTGGAGACAAGGAGGCGGGTGATCTCGGACTCGGCCAGGGAGAGGGGCGATGGAACCCCTTCGGATTCAACTACTCCGAGGAGGAGTATGCCGAGAAGCAGTTGCAGGAGATCAAGAACGGACGTCTGGCGATGGTGGGCATCTTGGGTCTTCTTTTGCAGGCCAGTGTGACTGGGAAGGGTATTGTGCAGCAGCTGGGGGGCTCTTTCGACGTGCCTGAAGCTGTCTCCAAGGCTGGCTACTACTTCCCTGACGGCGTCTAAATGCCTTTCCTCGCGAAAAGTAGGACAAAGAGAGGTTTATTTGGTCGTTGGCACGTGTCCACACACCCCCACAGACAAGCCTTGCCCACTCTTAATGTATTTAAAGCGAAAACGATAGGAGAGGAAGGGCCTGAGTCCCAGGGCGTGCGGCGGGTGCCTCGGCTACCGATACCTGTCTCTTATTATGCTGGCTTTACACAGATGATACGTAGGTTAAGAATTTTATGTTCCAGGGATAGCACGGCCTCAGCCTGGTGGAAAGAGAAGAGCTGATGAAGTGTAGAACATTCTTAGCCCGGGACTCAAACGTGAAAAGAAAGTTACGGGTCAAGGGGGGGGGAAGCGCTTTTCTGATAGTCCGTTCAAGCCAGATGAAAGAACCACACAATGTTGGAACTCTTGTTTAATGAATTTTAATTGCCGTATCGCTCTTCGTTTCGAAATGTGTGTTGCCCAGCTTTTTTGTACAGGAGGACAACTGCAAGACGGGAGATGCCCTGGGAATCCGATATGCAGGCCACAAAGAGTGGAGACGAGCTGTGGCATGACATGGCACTTTGAAACACGCTCATGCAGCATCTGAAAATGTGCAGGTCTGTGAGCGGGTATTTCCAGTTCAAGTCTAAGACGGTAGCAAATGTTTAAAAAAAAAAGGCTCGGAAGCGAGGAATGCGGGAGGTTGGGGAAGAAACCTCTGCCTTGTGTGACCATGGCAGAGTCAGAATACTTCCTGGCGATTCTTATTTCCGCCACCACAATGACTTGGCGTGAGTTTTTGGACAATATCGTGGCGTATGAATGAAGTGGGGCGTTCCCACGTGGGTCAGTGTTTTTTGGCAAAGTAATTAATTATTGGTTGGGAGGGCAGTGACTATGCTCGGGCACTCAGCACACCAGATATCTTGGTATCCCGTGACGACTCTTGAGTTTCATGATCCTTTTACTACTTTTGCAAAAAACACAGAGGCAGCATGAATGCAGCCAAGAAGTTTGCCGAGAACCTGGGTAGCAAAATTCCCAAGGGTACGTTTGTCAACATAATATCAGGGATACGAGGATGGGGGAATGAAGCAGCAGGAGGTCTACCATGCATCACAGTCTTCTGCCTGCTTTTCACAACGCGCGTACCATGTCGCACGGAGTTAAGACTTTTTCGTTCCCTCTCTTCTCTATGTCAGGTGCTGGCATGGGGGGTGGCGCGGGTGGCGGGGGTGGAGGGGGTGGCCCCG